ATATATTATATATATATATATATATATATATATATATATATCAAATTTTAATCACCAAAGCGATTATAATGACGATTATAATGAGTTAGAACGATGATGTTGTAAATTGATTAAGATTATAAATTTTAATTTAAATAGATTATTTAAAGATAAACTATTGCTTGTAATTAATAATATAAAGGATTTATTTTCATTCATGTTGAATGTATGTCTATCCAAAAATATGTTATGTATATCAAGAATGATATGTTTTATTGTTCATTAACTTAGATACATTATTAAAGTTCATATAGTTTTAATCCATTAAGTTTTTTAGAACAATAATGAGTTAGTTTGTTCAAATATGTACAACTATGTCTAATATGTTTTCTTTTGAGTAACTGTTTGATCAAGTTTAATGGGTTGAATTATGCTGAGTAGTCTAAATTGATCCAGTTTCAATTAGGTATTATGGATTTAAAACTTGCAAAAGACCCCTAAACCTTTCGGAGACTAGTTTAGAAGTTGGTAGGTCTCTTAATGATGCTTGAGTGCGATCTAATAAATTGATATTGAACTTGATTAGACTAACTATGATTGAAAATGTTAAGCTATAGAATTGATAATGCTAAAGAATTCATGAAATTGGTTAAGAATTTTTATAAATTTGACATTACAAGTCGAATATGAAAAACCTGACAAGTGAGTTTATAAACAAAAAGTTTGATTGATCTCAATCAATTCAATGTCATGGGACTAGAATGCCTAATATGACAATAAGGTTGAAGTCCTTGCAAATGGAAGTGAGTGAGTCATTTTTAGTACAATTCATTTTGAACTCACTTCCTATTGAATTTGGCCAATTCCAAGTGAATTATAATATCTTTAAAGAAAAATGGAACTTTCAAGAAATTAAGGTCATGTTGGTTCAGGAGGAGATTAAAAAAAAAAACTGAAAGACAACTCTATTCATCTCATGACTCATGATGGAGCCAACGGTGGTAAGAGCAAGTTGGGTAGAAAGAATAAGGGCAAAATCCAATTGAAGGTTAACGAAAGTAAAATCCAAAAAGATAAGAAGCGTTACTTTTGTGACTAGAATGATCACTTCAAAAAGGATTGCTCTAAAAGGAAGAAATGGTTTTAAAAAAAAGGTATATTTTATATATTTGCAAATTTTGAATCAAATCTTGTTGAAATACCTAATAATACCTAGTGGCTTGATTATGGAGCAATTACTCATATGCCACATATTTTGCAAGAATTTCTTTTGAAACCATAAGAGGAAGTGAAAAGTTTCTCTTTATGGGAAACAAAATAAAAGCAAGGATAGAGGACATTGGGGCATATAGCTTAATCTTGGATAATGGATGTCATATAGATTTAGAAGAATGTTTTTATGCTCGTGGATATCCTAGAAATTTGGTTTTTGTTGCAAAGTTGGATAAATTAGGATTTAATTTTAAGATTGGACACAATGTTTTTTTTTATTTATTTAAAGATATGTATTGTTATGTGTTTAGTACTTTAATAGATGGTTTATATTCAATCTTAATGTAAAGTTTATGGAATCCTTGTTTAGTGTTAAATATGTTATTGGTAGTAAGTGTAATGAGCATGATGATAATTTTGCTTATTTGTGACATTAAAGATTAGGTCACATATTCAAAGAAAGGATAATGAGGTTAATAAAAAAATGAAATTTTACCTAAATTAGATATTGATGACTTGAATATATGTTTGGATTACATTCAAGGAAAACAAACCAAACAAATATCCAAGAATTTTGCTACAAGAAGTAATAAACTTTTAAGACCAATACACAATGATATTTGTGGACCTTTTGATGTTTTATCTTAGAATGGTGAAAAGTATTCTATCACCTTTATTGATGATTTTTTACGTTATTGTTATTTATATCTTATGCATGAAAAATCTCAATCAATGGATATCCTAGAAGTGTTCATTGATGAGGTATAAAAGTAGTTAGATAGAAAAGTGAAGATTGTAAGATCTGATAGATATGATGAATTTTATGAAAAATTTAATGAAAGTGGATAGTGTCCAGGTCCATTTGCAAAGTCCCTTGAAAGTAGAGACATATGTGCATAATATTATGCCTAACACACCTCAACAAAATGGTGTTACTGAAAGACGAAATTGTAGTTTAATGGATATGGTTAGGTTTATGCTAAATTACAATATTGTACCTTTATCTTTGTGGATGCATGCTTTAAAGACCGTTGTATATTTGCTTAGCAGGATTCCTAGTAAGACAATTCCTAAGACTCCTTATTAACGGTGGAAAAAAAGGAAATCCAATTTAAGACATCTCCATGTTTGGGGGTTTTCCCGTAGAAGTAGGATGGTATAATCCACATGAAAATAAGCTTTATGCAAGAACCATTAGTGATTTCTTCATTTTCTATCCAAAAAAGTCTAAAGGATACAAATTATATTATTTGAACCATAGTACAAGAATAGTTGAGTCAGTAATGCTCAATTCATTGAAAATGACCAATGTAGTAAGAATGAGAAATCACGAAAGATGGATATTATAGAAACTTGTGGTGAATCTTCTTCACCTAATGTTTCTTGTAAAGATGTGGTTCTTATAGTTGTATTACGATTAAATAACAATAAGAGACAACAAAATGATATCCAAAACCCACAATATGAGCATGTGGTTAATGAACTGACAAATAATGTGCAAGTCACTAATGAACAAGTGATAGAAGATGCACATGAAATAACACCAAGAAGGTTTGAACGACAAAGAAGTCCAACTATTTCAAGTGATTTTATCGTGTATTTACTTGAACACGAATGTGAATTGAGTATTGATGAATATCTAATATCATTTAAAGAACCCATGGAAAGTGAAAATTTAGAAAAGTGGTTGAATGATATCAAAGAAGACATGAAATCAATGGATGATAATAAAGTATGAGATCTAGTTGAATTGCCTAAATGTTCAAAAAGAGTCAGTTTTAAATGGGTTTTTAAGACTAAGCATGTCTCAAAAGACAATATTGAAGGTATAAAACTATATTAGTTGTCAAAAGTTTCACTCAAAAGGATGACATTGACTGTAAATAGACCTTCTCTCCTGTTTTTAAAATGGACTATTTGAGAATTGTTTGGGATTTGGTGACTAATTATGATTTAGAGCTTCACCAACTGGATGTAAAGATCATCTTTCTAAATGGTGACTTAGAAGAAGAAATTTATATGAAACAACTTGAAGGTTTTGTTTCCACAAAAAAAGGAAAACATGGTGTTCAATTAAAAAAGTCAATATATGGGCTAAAATAAGCTTATAAACAATGGTATCTCAAGTTTAATAGTATCATCACATCAGATGGTTTTGTTGAGAATACTGAGTGTATCTACATGAAGGTTAGTGGAAATAAGTTTGTAATTTTAGTCTTATATATTGATGATATTTTACTTGTTATTGATAATGTTGTTATGTTATATGATGTAAAAAAACTTCTCTCCGATAACTTTGAAATGAAAGATATGGGTGAGACATCCTATGTAATATGAATAAAAATATTTCGTGATAGAACACATATATTGTTGGGATTGTCTCAAATATAATATATTAATAAGATATATATTAGAAAGATTTAGAACATAAAAGTGCTCTACAAATATTGTTCCAATACAAAAAGTTGACAAATTCAATCAAATGCAATATCCTAGAAATGACTTGAAATGAAATGAAATTTATTCCTTATGCATCTATGGTTCGGTGTTTGATATATGTCTAAACATGTATTCAACCACACATTAACCTTGTTGTAGGAATGTTGGATCGATATTAAAACAATCCTGGAATAGAACATTAGAAAGCTACAACTATTTTCTTTTTTATGAATGATAAATACTTAAAATGAGCAAAATACATGAATTTGATGTATTTATTAGTTAAAGAGGAAGTTCATAAGCAAAATGTGTCAATTGAACATATTAGTATAAACTTCATGATAGTGGATCGTTTTTACCACCCAAGACATTTATTAGCCATGTTGAAATAATGAACATTATGGATATAAATCCTTGTTAACCATGTAATTTGGTATATATATATATATATATTATAGTTGCAATGCTTATACTACTGACACTTGCGAATTCAATTATAAATATACTTATATTTATTTGTTATTTACATTAGATGGTATATATTATTATTTTATTTAGTGAATTGACAAGAAGTGTCTTTGATAGGAAATTAAATATACCTATTATAATTTTAAACAAAATTGAGTTAAGTTGATTGATTTGTGATACATGAAATGAATCTTGTTGTTGAATAACTTGTAACTTGCCATGATCAAATCTTTAATGTAATGAAGGATAATAACTTAATAAGTTCAATGTATAATGTGCACTTAAAGATTTAATATTGGATCTTTAACATAAACTTAGTTGAAGAATGTTAAATTATTCTAACTTTTAATAAATTATAAAATGATTTTAATATAAAGATTATAATGTGATGATTATTAAATTATAAATGTATTAAAATTCATTAGAATTATTTTAGAGATATTAAAATTAATTTCCTCTCTTCTCACTTTATTAAGGATACTATATTCTTTTAATAAATATTTTTTGTAATGTTAAATATTAAGAAGAGTAGTAAAAAAAAAACGGTTGATTCTCTCTCCAAGAGTTACATTATGGTCTTACAGGATAATACTTGATAAAATAAATTATCCCCAACATTTTATATATATAATCAGTCATTGAAGGAAGTAAGAAAAGAGAAATATCACTCACTATCAAATAGATATTTCACAATGAACCCAAGTAAGTTCTTAAACCTTTCTATAACAACCTTAACTAATAAAAAGGAAGTTGATGCACACCCTATTTGGCCGTGATGTTTTCTGTCTCGCTTGTTGTTTGTGTTGTTGTCCAATGCCAGGTTGCATTAGCTCATCCTAAGCTTGTTGAAGGTCTTAAATGATTGGCCAATCTGATCCTATGGTTGTGTACCATAGAGAAGTATGGAGATCAAATTGTTGTTGGAGTTGGAGAACTCCACCTTGTTTGAAAGACTTGCAGGAAAACTTCATGGCTTGAGTTAAGATTATTAAGTCAGGTCCTATTGTGTCCTTCTGTGAGATTATCTCAGAGAGATCTTGTCACACTATTGTCAACAAGTCACCAACAAGCACAACTATCTTGACATGTCCATGGAGGAGGGCTTCCTGTTGCTATTGGTGATGACTGTATTGGTCCTAAGGATGACCCCAAAGTTCATTCTAAAATTGTCAGAAACATTTGTTTAGGATAAGAAACTTGCTAAGAAAATATGGCGTTTTGGACCTGCGACTATGAGGCCTAATATGGTGCTTATGTGTAAGGTGTCCAATACATAAATGAAATTAAAAATTGTCGTTGCTGGGGTCCAGTGGCTCCTTTTCTGCTTTGATGTCCACGTCAAAGAAGGTGCATTGGCTGAAGAAAACATTATGGCTATCTGCTTTGAAGTCTGATGTTGTTCTCCATGTTGATGTTATCCATAGAGGTGGTGGTCAAATCATTCTCACTGCTGGGAGAGTCTTTTATGATTCCCAATTGACTACAAAGCCTAGACTTGTTAACTAGTTGAGATACAGGCATCCAAGTTGGCACTTAGTGGCACCTACTATGTTCATAACCAGGAACATGGATGCATCTTTGAGAAAATGCGGTGGCCTGATATCCCATTTTACAACATTAAGGAATACCTTCGTCAGCAACTCCTTTGTGTTCTCAAGCACACCAAGGCCTGCTGCAATCGGTGCAGGCTTCCTCCACTATGTTTTAATCACTGGGATATGATGTCTCTAATCCATTGGAGCCCGAGACTCAAGCGGTTCTACTTGTTACTGACATTTGCAGGAGGAAAGGATTGAAGGAGGAGATGACACTACTTTCATAATACGAGGAAGAGATTCAAAATTTTGACAATACCCTTCACGAATCTAGCTCATAATTTATGTTGAACCTTAGAACTATTTTTTTTACGTTCAAAATTGAGTTTTGTTTATATTCTAGCAAAGAGGGAGTGGATCTCACCTGCTTTTTAGCTAATGCTTAAGTTGAAAATAGGATAATGAATAGTTGATTTGTTCTCCGGTCTAGGTTTATGTATTCTTGTTGATCTGTCTAGTTTCCTAGCTTTAAGGTTAGTAGTGGTGATCGTCCGCGTATCGGGAGTGGATAACGTGGTTGAGATAAATTATGGATATGGGTTTACGACTTCGAGTACCTGGTCTAAACTGTCTCAAAGTTTTGCTAACGATCGTCTAAGAACCGATCTGGGTTAAATCCACAATGTTGCATATGATAGCACACAATCCTTCAGTCTTTAGTTTCTTGTCAAAGATCTGAGTGTGATCGATGTTAGCTTAGGACCTTTGACCTTGTCAAAGATCTATTGTCAAATTTCTTATAACTGACTTCTAGATATTAGAGATGTTAAAATGAGTGACCCGACTCAGCTTGTCCAGTGATTATGGGTCAAATAAAAAATATTTGATGTTCAAACTTGATGTATATTTTAAAACGGAGAAAGAAATTTAGTCTAGTGGAATTTTATATTAGGCAAACCGGTTAATTTTGGTTTGATTGATTTTTTTTTTTAAATTAATATATTTATACAAAATCAATCAATTAAAAAATATTTAAATAAAAATATAATTTTAAAATTTAAATTTTATTAATGAAATTAGTTTTTTTAAGATATAATTATTTAATATATATAAATTATAAGAGATTACGTTCATTCAATCTTAAAATAATAATTAAAAACTTATTCTTTATTGTTATTATTATTTATTTTTAATAAATTATTAATTTAAAATAATAATTATTTTTAATCATTATATCTTAAAATAAGTGATTATTAGATATTTATTATGATATTTACTCTCATAATAAGTTAATCCATGTCAAATTAATTTATAATAAATATATATATTTTTAATAAAATAATATTATTTTTATTTGTATTTAAAAATTTATTATTATCATTCTATAAAACTGATCGGTTCATAAGGTTACGAATTAGCCTGACGTAAGTTCATATAGGTCATGACCTAAATAAATCGAATAAAAATAAATCTGATTTAATTTAGGCTACAATTTTTTTTGTCTAACCTAATTTATTTTTGAACTTTTTGGACTGACTTATCGGAATAAATCTATTTTGACACCCCTAATAAAGATTGATCATGACTAATTAGTACCATGATTAGCCACATGATCAATTAGACATGTCGACCATACATTTAATACATAATATGATACCATGTCTCACATAACCCCTTAGCCTTAAGTAGAAGATATGGATCCTAATGTTTGAAGTTTGTCTCATTATCAAATAAATCATAAAAACCATGAGTCTCGCGTAGCCCTCACCTAAATCAGTATTAAGCTAAGACTATTGATAAACCAACTTTTGCTTACCTCACGAAGAACCAACTATATGAGTTAATAGTTATGTTTGTAACGGAGGCACATAGGAAACTTGAAAAAGGAATACAAGAAGAAGCGGGATTACAAAGGAAAACATATCCTTACACATGTGTCCCGTGAAGGGTAAATATATGGTATTTTATACAGAAACAAGTTTGAAAAATTTTAAAAATGTCTCATTAAAATGAATGACAATATCGATAACAATAATGATGATATGACAATTAAATTCCTCCACCTAGTCCATTTGATATTTTTTATGTATATTTAAAAATGTAATAAAAAATTTATTTATATATTAATTATACTCATAAAAAGTTATTTAAATATATTAAATTTTTATGGAGACATATCCAATGGACATAAATGCCATATGCTATAATAGACACACGTAAACAATGTATTTCATTAACTTGTTTAAAGCACTAGAATAATTAACTTTTGGTAGTATAGTACATTATAATTTATGTACAGTTTACATTAGTTTAATTATAAAAGTAGAATTAATATAGAATATTGTACATGTTTAAGATATTTAATTTCTACAATTCTAACAAAAGTAGTATTAGATATTGTGTATTACATTAATGTGATTGTTTGTGTATTGTAAATATGTTAAATATCTATTTTGTATTGGACTAGATTGAATTGTAGACTGTAAGTGTTTAGATATGCACAAAATAAATTGGTTATTTATATAGAAGACACATAATATGACGACGATTACGATTAAGACTATAATCATTATTTATATACACAAAACAACCATTAAAACAATCATTATTGTTGTATATACATACAAGGTGATGATGTAAATGATTGTTGTACCCTAAATCATTATTGTATCATATCTGTCAATGAGAATTATTATTGTCATACCATAACTAATTAACATACAATGATGATTCTTATCATACAGCGATATTTCATATTTATTATCAAAAGTCTCTACATATAATAACGTCTTCATCGACGATGGGATGAAATCCATTATCCTAAATCATTTTTAACCATCCATTGTTGATCCATCTGCAATAATGTTTACAATTTTACTTAAAGGTGAAGAAACTACTAACTATCACTAATTCACCTCATTTCATTACAAAATCAATGGTACTTAACTCAAATAATTCTAAATCAATAAGCAAGTATAGTTAGCATTACCTATATGTGTTTTTAAATTAGAAAATTTATTTCTGAAAAACATATACTAATATAAACAGGTTATTCAAATTATTACAATTTAAATTAACTTTCAATTGCTGTTAAAATTCAAAATTTTCATATTAACACTAAAGAATTTTCATAGATAAAATTTATATATGATTTGATTTGGTTAATTTAAAAAAAAAACTAAATCAAATCAAATCAATATTTTTTAGTTTGATTTGAACTATTTTTCCGACTTTTTTTTCATTATAAAACTATTATATATATCATAATAAAATAATTATTATAAATAAAAAATTTATTATAAAAATATCATGAATAATTAATTATGATATTCATAATTTTAATTTATTTTCATAATATATATATATATATATATATATATTTCTTAAATTTTAAAAATTAATTGATTCACTTATAATAAAGGTTATTTTATATTTTAATTTTAGTAACATATATTATTAATTTCACTTCTGATCGGTTTGATTTAGGTTGATTGATTCATAATCTAAATTTTTTTTTAATTTTGATCGGTTTTTATTTTTATTTTATGAAATTTTGGTTTTATTTTTTAATTATTTTTCATTTTTAGTTAAGATTGCACTTCTAAGTTAAAATAAATCATTTTCTTCATAATTAACTGCTCGTTATAATTAACTGCAAATGAAAGTTATTAAATTATTTATGATAATGGACTGTAAACAAAAATGTTTTTTATATACAGTAATTGAATTATGTTTTTACATTTTAAAAAAAATAATATTTTGATTAAAAATTAAATTTTAGTATAATATACATCACCTTAATTTAAATGATAATGAGGACTAGAGGCAAAGTTGGTATTTGATCTTGCATCAACAACATACACAATTTCAAGGTTTTGACTGAATAGAGATTATAAACCTCACTATCATGTCTCCTTTCTACATTTTTTCCCCCTATTTTAGATTAGTAGCTCAACCAAGATGCACAAAGAAAGCTAGAAACATGTAGGTAAAAAAATTATTGCAACTTCTACTCACTATTACATCATTAAAAAAATTAAAATTTCTTGAAAGAAAAATAAAATAAATTTTCATTAATGTATTGTGAACATTGCAAAATTCTTTGACTCTTCTATTGCACATACAACATTCTTAAAGTCATCGGTCAACCTCATAATCTTCTCCACAATTCAGCCATCAAGTAATTTTTCTCCATTTCTATTAAGTTGGTTCACCATGGTTTCAACATGCATGATGTACTCAGAAACTTCTTCCAACTTCTTCATTTTTATACTCTAAAATTCGTCATATAGTATTTGTAGTCGGAATTTCTTAACTTGATAAGCTCCTTGTTATATTCTCTCTAGAATTTCCCATGCCTCTTTTGAAGATGAAGCATATGCATCCTTTCAAATTCAGATTCATCAATAGTTCGGTACAACATATACAAAATTGTTTTATCTTTCACAATTGTCTCTTTCAACGCCTTGTTTTGGGTTTCCAAATAGTCTGCGGTACTTGGTGGTTCTTCAAAACCATCTTTAACAACCTCTCAATTATGTTAAGATCTAAGAACAACCTCCATCTGAAGATTCATATTGTCAATTATGTTAAGATCCAAGAAGAGCCTTCATCTGAAGATTCATACTATCATAGTTCATTGTCTTTGTCAGTACCTTATCATACTAGCCATTACTCTCAGCTCTTAAACACTAAAACACTCAAATTCTTGATACCAGTTTGATAAGAGAAGATTTTTTCTGAATACTTTATTTCTCACTAGGTGTTTCATCAACAACAAAACTAGGTATTTATAGACCGAAATTTGACCTTTTGAATTTCAACTCTTAAACTTTGTAAATGGAAAACATAAACTTAATTACTGACTTTTGACCTTTCTTCTTAAAAATGATTCAATTAAAAAATATTGAAACTAACATTCACTACAAGAAATTTTGATATTACCGACGGTCAAAATCCGTCGGTAATATTTTTATTATTTATTAAATATTTTACTTATATAGATTATTTATTTTATAGAATACTTTTATTATTTATTATTAATTATTTTTCCCTACTACATTTTTTATATTGTCATTGGTAGGATTTGAATCCAATACCTTAGAGTTAGAGACCGATACTCCAACCACTAAGCTTACTAGAATTTTTCGATAATAATTTACAAATAAATTATATTTATATACAAATATATTTATATATTTATATACACATATATTTATATATATTTATATATTTATATATATTTATATATTTATATATATTTATATATTTATATATTTATATATTTATATATTTATATATTTATATATTTATATATATTTATATATTTATATATTTATATATATTTATATATTTATATATTTATATATTTATATATTTATATATTTATATATCTATATATTTATATATCTATATTTTTATATATTTATATTTTTATATATTTATATATTTATATATTTATATATATATTTTTATATATATTTATATATATATATATATATATATATTTATATATTTATATACAATTAAATATTTTTATATGTTTTTATATATTTTTATATATTTTTATATATTTTTATATATTTATATATAATTAAATATTTATTTTTTAAAATTATTTAATTTAAGAAATTATTATAAATTAATCTAATTATGATTAAATGAAATTATTAAAT